CCAATTGGAACTATTAATTTAATGCAATTATTCAACCTATTTGGGATTAAGGTGGTGATAATAATGATGCTTGCAGGGATAGCTGATCCAGAAGAATTACAAGTCAGCAAACTAATAACTTATCCAACAAATAATGAAGGGAGCTTGTGCTATGTCTTAAATACTTACCATGAATACATCAAACTCATCCATTGCCCGAAATGGGGACTCAATCATTTCATGAAGAGCAAGAGCAAAGCACAATGTTGAGAAAGAGCGTTCCCCTCCTGATTCATCACAAAATCCAACCAAACAGATGCAGAGCATTTTCATCAGGTTTAAAATTAAATGCTCTGGAGGACATGAACATCATCAATTCATCACACAAGCAAACTAGTGATAATATAGACGTCAGATTAAAAACAATAGGCTTCACCCATAATAAATTAACAGCAGGCTTGCGTGAACTACAACAAAAACATACCTATTTAGAGGGACTATATCTCAATGGTTAGATTTACAATCAAACAATAATGAACACTGTGGACAGCATTTATTGGTGAGGAAGAAACAAAGAATAAAGCATGTTCATAAATCATGAAAACTTGATTCTCATATTAAGATAAAGGGTCATAAAGCACACAACATGTTCCAAATCACACAATGCAACTTTATACTTAACTCTATAGCATGAATATACACGTGCCAAAGTAAAATTCATATCACTGCACACAAATGCACACATGTAAACATATGCAAGGAAACCTGAAAGCCCCCTTGTGTCATGAACCGAGCTACTTGAAGCATCTTGAGGCATTGTAACCTGGTAAGGAAGACGGGTATAGTTAAATATCAGAAGAAAGCTGAAAGAGAAATTTAGTTCACAAATTACTCTGGCAAGGGACATGACACCCTAGTAAGCTCATCATAATAATAATAATTTAGAAGGAAACAAACAAACAAACAAATAAGTTACACACAAATACAATTGATTTCTACCCATCAAAAGCCCTATTTAATTTTATACTAAACAGGAGCATAAAAACAAAGCATAAAAAACATGAGACATATAGAAATAAACCAAATACTCCCTCTGTCCCATAATTTTCTTCTCACATTCACATGGCTCGCTTTGTGATAAAGTAAAAATTGTGTGGTTGAGACTCATGGAGAGAAAAAAGATATGAACCACAAAATTAGTTCCATAAAAGGAAATTTGAAGAAAATTTTGGGACATCCCAAAAAGGATATCATAAAGAAAAGTATAGGATGGGTGGAGTATAGAAATCTGTGTGCATTGAAAATGGTACAGTGGGGAGTGCCAATTTGGCAGGTCTTCAAAAGAGTAAATTTGAAAGCTAACCATCCCCTTTATTTTAAGCATGAAACTGTAAATGGACATACTATACTTTTTTAGTAAAATTTGCACTGAATAGTACTAATACATGTCTTTTCCCAACTGTAGTACCTAGAACTTTGTATTCTCTAAATAGTACTTTAATAATTTCTAGTGACGGGAACAATGTTCAATAGCGGTGGACATTTAGTTTGACCAATGTCCGATGGCAGTGGACATTTACTTGAACATAAAGGGGATGGTATGGGAGTAGCAGGGCTTGATAGGTGTGTGGCATAAGTTGCAGAGTTAGCTTTCCTTGTTAAAGAGGCAAGGGAGGGGTTTGTAGAGGAGGTGATGATGGTGAGAGAAAGGAGAGTCGTGAGGTATGAGGTTTTAGTGGTGGGTGCGGTCTGTGACAGTTTGGATTTTTCATTAAAAATCCATACCGTAACATTACTATTCAAACGGTTCAGTATAGTTCGTTCTTACAACTAAAACTATTCCATACCATGGCCCTTGAAATGGTACAATACTATAGTGTTTTAGAACTTAAAAAAATTATTATAAAAAAACTAATCAATGAAAGTAAAAATATTTGACGCACCAAATCCAGCAATATGTTTTTATATCCTTACTCAACAAACGTATTGTTTAATACGAGTAATAATTTTTGACAAATCATAATTTAAAAGTAATTTGAAAGACCATGATTAAGTAAGTTAAAGTAACACCAAAGAAACGAAAACTGAAAATATTGAAAATTAACAAACGTAAAAGTATAATTAGTTGATTATTTTAACATTTTAATAGTAATGGTCGGTTCGTGATTTTCGATTCTCATTTTTTGAGAATCCATCCCGTACCATTCTAAAAATGGAACAATAGTGTTTGAGATATAATTTACTAGAACCATTTAAGAAAAATACTTTTTGATTTGGTATCATGTCGGTTTCATTTGGAATAATGACGTATTCTGTATTCATATTTTTGCCCACCCCTAGGTGGTTTTGTGCCATTAATTTTGAATCAAACACCTCAGATGAGGATAGGTTTTATATATCAAACCTCCAGGAAGCTATGAGTGTTCATCCAAAACTCCTACCAGATTCTGAACCAAACAGGACCTCAAAATATTAGATATTTTAAAGTTAAAGCATTAAACACACACCCACACGGCCACACACATTGTAAAAGTACAAACATATCATGGTAAGCATCTAACTCACCTCAACAGAAAGGGTCTTGTTTTCGTAATTGACTATGATTTTTCCACTAATCCCCTTCTTTCCTAGGTGGCCATTAAACCTAGCAAAGTGAAATAGGAAAATTATGTTGATAACATATCTTATGTGAAACTGCATCACATGCTAAATGTTAAATACAGAAAAAATATGCTGTATAGATGGACAATAGAAGGGTAAAAGGCATACTGCCAAGTCAGCTGACGCTTCAGGAGACTTGCATTTCTTTGAAACTTACTCCATCTCAGATCTAGTGCCTTACGGCACGCCTAACACCAGAGCAAGAACATATAAAAGAA